AAAGAAAAAGTAACAAAAAAATGAGATGATTAGTTGACAGTGACACGTTTCTCACCTTTCAAAAGTGTTCATACTCTGTGAAATTATAAAGGGTGTTGAGTGTTCAATAAGATGTTAAAACAAAATATACAAACAAGCTACAAATAACTGCAGTCATTCACTTATCAACGGTAGTAGAAGAATGCTCACTACGTGAAGAAACTGTACATAACCAAATTAAGAAAATTGTAACGTTCCAAATATCCATTTTATTTTATATGTCAATTCAATTTTTTTCATACCAAAATATTCAATACTGGTATAATAATATGAAATAATTTGGAATGAAATTCAATTTCTGAGAAAGTAGGTGATGTCTCTCAGGATAACACTTTTTAAGTTGAGTTGCACACGTAATAAGCAGTTTGTTAATTTATCAGTTTATTAATGGTGAAAGAACGGTTTGTTTGAAGGTTATTGACAATGTTTCATGGTGAATTTAATTACTTACATTCTCTCTAATATGATATAAAATGATTGGAAATCCCTGAAAAAATCAATAAAATTGAAAATTAAAATGATTAGCTGAGAAATATTAATCATATTAAGCATATCATATTATTGTAAGTTCATTTCAGGTTTTTTGCTTGATAAAATGTTATTTTCCAGCTACCCATTTTAATTCTCAATTGTATTGGTTTTTTCAGTGATTTCAAATCATTTTATGTATTAGACAATGGAAGTATGACCTAAAGAAATTCACTGGTGAAAGAAACATGCACTCAAATATGTTAACCCAGAAAACTATATGGGTCATCTCCAATCCCCAAAAAATTTGTTAAATAGACTTGAATATAGACCTGCATGGACGGTGTTACGTACTCTCAAATGTAGTTATTGGGAGTAGGCAAGTAATGATAAACACTGCATAGATGACTGCGCTATACATAATATCACAATCACTATAGGAGGAACTGGAGAGAAACTCTATAAACGCGATCAAATCGTCTTTAGGATCTAGGGTTGATAATAGAGGGCTTTTCACAGAATAGCGTTGTAACAACAATAGAAAATCAGGGCATTTGCAGAAACTTAGAGAAAATTAAGGAAATTTTAAGATAAAAAATCGTATTATTGGGAAACAAATAGACTCGCGAAGAGTAGTAATGTGTCATCCAAGACCTGAGGGATGGTGCAGGTTATAACGATACATAAAAAATGTGAACTTTTGTACGATTGTGGTTCTTGGTGAATGTTAGTGTTTCGGACTATGAAAATATTGAAGAAAGCACGGGCAAAATATTTTAATAAGAAAATATAAATAAATTCGAACAAATATAATGAATAGGCTAATTTGTACAGATAAAACAAATTGTGGTGATCTGAGATGAGAATTAATTCATGAATGGATCGATCAATGATAATCCGGTCAATCTAGACATTGGAAGGTACATACATTTACAAAAAGCTGCAAACACGTGTAATTGTTCAAAACATAGTCAAACATAAGATTTTAAAATTCCGAAAGATTGCGATGCCTGGAAAAAAAATTATTCGAGGTCAAAGGTCAAAAATCTCGAATTGGTTTTTCGCGATTTTCAGGAAAACGGTAAGTTTTATCATAAAATAACTTTAGATAAAAATTGTAGATCATAAAATTCTCTACAAAAATGTATCATTACTTTTTTTTCTTAGATCCACCATTTCTGAGATACGACGAGTCAAAAAGTTGTAAAAGTTGTAATCGTCATTATATGCACACGTTTCCACGCCACCTATGAGGTAGTGTACTTAGCGCGTTTTTTTTAACGTGGTTTCCCCGGTAGGCCTATTCCACATGTCTGTTGTGATTCTGTCAAATTGAAAACTTTCATAATAAAATATATTAGGAAGGGTTGGAAATTATAAAAGCGATTGAAATTAAAAAAAATTAAAAATGTATTCATCTGAGTCACAACCTTCAAATACTTTTTCTTGTCGTTCTTCTTCTTGGTCTTCTTCTTGTTGATATTCATCCTGGGTGTAGGTAAACTGCGTCAAGAGTGATGATGTTTCCTCGTTGGTATCAAATGAATCCTCCACTATTGGTGATTCAGCTTTAGAACATGACTGGCCTTGACAATGTGTACATGCCAGAGAACACAACAGTCCAACTTTTTTACAACCCCATTTAGCGCTGCATTCCTTTTTACAGTTGTAAAAAATTGTGTTCAGCAGTTTTTCCGGCGCAGGTAGGAGTAAAGTCTGAATAGGTTCTCATGCATTGTCGACCAACTTCCAACCCCAGTCTTTTGGGTCTAGCTGATAACCAAGCCACATTTGAACATGGTAATATACCCAGAAAAGATGTTGATGAGCAACAACTAAGGTTGGAGGAAGACAAGCTAATTGCACCTGTTTCTTACTTTCAGTGTTTTTTACGAAACATGCATATCGATACTTATCTAAGCAGGTAGTTTTTTTCGGAGCTTTGTACATAGAAAGAAGAAACTGAATCCCGTTGGTGATAATTTCTTGTTGAGTCGAATTACTTTTTTTGAAAACTTCAGCACATTGAACTAAATTTTGTTTTTCAAACATTTTGAAGACTGTTGTTTTACCCCTCCCGTAAAATGCAGACGTCGTATCACAGCCAGTTATTGCGTGTAAAAATAGTACAAGATTTTGATTCTTTGCAAAAGTAGATAAACTTTTTGACGAATATATTTCGGTTTGATTTTGAGCTTTTCCTGGCTTTAGAAAGAAAATAGTTTTTTCTGGTGGAGTTCGAGCAGTAAGAAGTAAGAGTAAGTCTACATCTTCACACCAACAATGATAGTTGTATTTGTCAAATTAAATTGCTCTATAGCTGTTTCAATAATCAGTACGTCGGTATCGTTATTAGCCTGTTTAACCAATATATTTTCACCAATAAATTTATCCTTCAACATTGAAATGATCCGAGATTTGTTGTGAGAATTTGCAAGAAATTTCTGTTGACTGGTAGAAACTGTCCTAAGTTCATCAAATAGAATATCGGAAGATGAAGATGTTGCTAAAATTCGACGACGTTGTTCTACAGCAGCACAATTGAACAGGGAGACAGATGTTGGCTCAAGGTTACACTAGCGTACAAATTAAGGGACTGGATTTCTTTCTACCTGATATTCTTATATTTATACTTATGTATACCAATAGAAAACTATTTTTACTTAAATTACAACTTCAGAGATGTATATACGTGGCATACTTATGCATATAATGACGATTACAACTTTTACAACTTTTTGACTCGTCGAATTTCCGAAACGGTGGCTTTGAGAAAAAAAGTATTGATACATTTTTTGTAGAGAATTTTATGATCTACAATTTTTATAGGAGGTTATTTTATGATAAAACTCACCGTTTTTCTGAAAATCGCGAAATACCAGGAGATTTTTGACCTTTGACCTCGAATACATTTTTTTCTAGGCATCGCAGTCATTCGGAATTTCCAAATCTTATTTTTAACTATGTGGTGGTTCTTAAATTGAAATCAATATGGGAATGATCAGAGAGTACTTATCTATTCATATTTTGATTTTTATGGAATTATTTTCCAGCAGCTTGACTGCATTAACCTTTCTCGATTT